TTCATAGCTACAGGGTAATTTTGTGCACTGAAAAATACAGTGAAGGTGGTTGCTATCAGAACATATTCCATGTTCCCAGCTGGCCACCTAGCAGGTACCTGAGAGGATTCAGGATTCCGTTCCTCATCCTTGCCTGTATAGGACACCTTATTTGTGTGCTCCTAGTATGGATGCACCAGCCCAGTGAATGCTTAGATAAAACAAGCTGCTGTGAAATGACACTTACTTTATTACCTATTTCCTACCTGAAATCATGAATGTTTTCTCTACTGCTTCTACAGAGTAGCCTGAAATCAGCTGTGCTCATTTTGTCGAGCAGCCAGGAAGACGCAGGAATTACTTTTGCCAGTGCTCATCAGTTTGAACAACTCCATGTGTGAATGATGAATGCCAGAGGTCTCCGTATATCCTAATATCTTCAGACAGAAGGAAAGTGATGGGTGATAGAAAGGTGAAGGATTACTTTTACTCTGGATTTTATTGTCTACATGCAGATTTAGGCACGCAAAGGACTACTATATTGTGGCTATAATCTGGAAGTTAACCGAACTCAGGTACCAGGATTTTCTGTACGGATGATGAGGAATGAGATTGTAAAGTAATTCATAACTCTGAATAAAAAATACACCAGGTATTCCCATAATCCATTTCAGTTTCACATCTGTGAATCTTTGATATGAATGCTGTGACTTCTAAACAGTTTCTAGTGGACAGATCCAGTTACACTGAGAAAAACAGGCATTTTACCAGAAGCTTAATAGGGTACAAAATTTCACAGCAATAACAGTGATCAAAGGCAGCTAAAATAATTCATGGAAAACCCAGTGTGACAGCAGGCACAGGCAAAGCAGGCAGGCATATAAAGAGCACACTCTGCTACCCCGCAGGCCAGCACTCAAGCAGCATGAGCTGACAGGAGAACTCGTTTTCTCCCTCTACCTTTGTAGCTTTGGCTTTTCCTGCCTCATGTGGGGCAGCAGCTTTGCTGCACAAGAGGGTCCCACCCAGCATCTCTCCCCACCCTCGCTCTTCTGTGGCCCTCATCAGCCCTGCAGGCAGCTCACACTTCAGTCCTGTCTCAGCTGTTCCCCTCCTCCTCTGCACAAATACACAGGAAGGTCTTTGACCTCTTGAAGGCCTTCAGAGATAATTGTGAATAGGGGCAGAAATATATAATTATTCCTCCAGCTCAGATCCCTATTTCATATTATATTTACTCTTTACCATCTTTTGCAAAAACTGAACTCTGCCACTCAGATAGTTGATCTGTGGGTGATCACATCCTGTTTCGTCTGCACTGATGCAAAGATTTACAGCACTCCTCAATCAATTGTCTAATGGGGAAATTAAAGTAAAAAGAGAAAACATATTTCACAGTTACCTCCCAATCCTATGCTTAAGGTTGATTTTCTATAGTCATATACATTCTTCATTTATAATGACCCTGTAGAGCACATTAATTTTTTTAGAGACGAACAGACTTGGTTAATAAAAACCCTCTCTGACTAAAATTCTCCTTGTCTGTCTAGATAAGATGATTTTCTACCTTTCTTCTACTGCCAACTAATTGACAAAAGGATTTAGAGATGAATTTGAAAAATAAGGAGCTTTTTATTTAAAAGAAATGGTGGAAGGGAAAAGGGGAAGAATCAATTTTAAGGTGATGGCCTATTAAATTTCAATAAACTTGGATAATTTGTGTTTGCAGAAAACCCTTTTTTGTCATTTTGGAAATTGGTATGATTCATTTCGGACTGTTCTCAAAATTCCTCAAAGAACCTTCTCGCTGAAATTGTATTGTGAATAAAATTCTGTATTTTCAAAAAAATCCTTTTCTTATAATATTATATTTTTAAATTTTGCATGGTAATGAGTTATCACCCCCACTTTTTGCTTCATGCAAGGCCTCAAAATAAGCATGAAAAATGCAAACAACCTACACATGAAAAATACATTAGGCTTTTAATAGTTCTTTCATTTTAGTTCTCTGTGGTGCTATTAGTGACAGGTAAAAATCAGACTAGTTAAGTGCAGCTGATGCAAAGGGGTGTAAAATTACAACTTATCTGCCTGATTGCCTGTGCCCCTGGGAGGCATAAAACTGAAGAGTGAGAGCAGTTATTGCTGCTCCATTTTATTAGCTTTTTCTATGGACTGGGAACATCTCAACTTTGTACCTTAAGATTTTCAATGAGTATCTTTGGAGGAGATTGACTCAACATGTTTCTCACTTGTGTTCTTTTCCTAGCCAGATTTATGCTCCCATCTGCTGAGATGTGCTATCCTGATTTCCCCTCCTGGAAAGCCTGAGAGTAGGAAGACATTACAAACTTATTACAGTTTGGTAATGGTTGGTCATATTTTTTTTCCAGAAAACAAACCACCTTTAGGTTACATTAAACAAAGTTTCTATGGGAATGTACTGATACATTGTAATAGAGATTAAAATAATATTTTAATTATACCACCCAATGGATATATTAGATCATTTATAACTGAGGGTTTTTTAATTGTTAAACTAACCAGAAAGAAAAAAAAATCAAGCTCAAGTTGCAGCCATATTATTATTTTCTTTTTATATTTTACACTATAACTCTGTGTGTAAAAGGAGCACTTGACTAATGGAAAGAGAAAGGGGTCATGACTATGAGCCCTTTGCCAGCTTACAGTTGGAAACCATGTTAAGGGTAGATCATAACAGAATTTATTTGATTGAGCAAGCCTTCTTCAGTGGTCTCTGCTGATGGTCTTTACTTGCCAGGGTGTATCAGTTTTATCTCTGAAGCAGAGCTAGCATTTCCCTCTTTCCAGCCCCTGAACCATAGGAAAGGTGATCTCAAGGATTTTGTCTGTAGATTCTCAGACGCAGACAGACAGTTCTTTAATATGTCAGAGAATGCTTGTTGGTATTGAGAAAGGAGTAAAAAACTTTTCTGAGTATATTAGAAGATTTGGGAAACGCATAGGAATGATCTTATTAAGCTATTTACCTTGTGGTAGCACCTGCAGGTCCTTCAAAATGCTGGTTCTTCAATGCATGAGGTACTTCATACCACTCCAAATTCTATCTGAGCTGATGGTAGTAGGTGATAGATGAACACTAGTCAACAGGGAGACCTAAGAGAAGGGTAATTATCATAAGCAAGCAAGCAAGATACAAGCTACTTAATTACTAACAAGGATTTTGAAGACGAGGTACTTAATGTAGGAATTTGGAGGAGGAAAAATAAGTATTTTAGGGAAGCTCTCCTGCAGAAGATAGAAAAAGCAAGAAGTTACATGACAGAAAAAGTTGGACCAATGCATGGTAGAAGTCTTGATGAAGGTTTTCCCCAGCCAGATATTTTCAGCTAAATGTTTTTGCCTGGGAGAGGTGAGGAAACTTTTCAACATACCACAGCTACAGTCAATGGCCAAATGACAGCAATGTTCAAACAACACATGATTCTGTGTTGCCCCTACCACTTGGACAGCCTGGAGTTGGAGATAGTCCAAGCCCTGGCTTCCTCCATGACACTACAGCTGTCAGAAGTGCCATAATCTGCCTTGTCAATCACTAACCTGTCGCTCTATTAGGAACGGCTGGGATTGAACGACACAGACTCTCATGGAGTCGATTAGGAGAATGTCTCATAGTTTATTATTTCAGCTCTGTTTTATAGACTGATATGTGGAAAGTACAGAAAGGAAACTCTTATTGGTTAGTAAACTACTACATTACCATCATTGGTCAGTGGGGCACACTACCCCCTGACTTTCTCCTGCAAAGAAAACAAGAGACAGACAACAACGCCTGCAAGGCTGTTTTCTGTCTTTGAGGATTGTTTTGAGTCCTCCCATGAATTTCCCAGGCTACTTTCTCAGGCAGGACTGAGAAGCTATACGGCCTGCAGTTTCACAAGCTCTCTGTTACAGAGTTAGCATCCACACTAACCTCCATTGCTGTTTACAGTCCACTGTTCACCTCTCCTCAGAAGTGCACTGAATCCATTCCTGATATCTCTACTGGTATATAGTAGGTGAATGAAATTCCGAGTGTGAAGGCTGGATAAATTAAAGCTCTGTAGAAAAGACAAAGATTTGATCCCCCTAGGGCTTTATAAAATAAAACTCTGTGGATCCATCTCTGGTGAGAACTAGGGAGAGCTGCATCTTGGCTCCTTCCTTTTTTCCTTGGTGGGGTCTTTTTAATAAGCTAGTCATGGAGCAATGCATGCATATCTGGGGTTTTTTAAATCCCAAGAAAAGTACTCTGTTGTGTTACTTTCTTATTCTACTCCAAGGGGAAAAGTAAGTACAAGAGATGAGAAAATGTATACCACTTGTAAATTTCATCACACAAGAAGAGTGTGAATGCAATACAACGAAAGAATGAAAAGTATGAGACAGCGAACAGTGGTATTAATAGCCTGGCTAAGAGGTACTCCGAGACAGGTTGGGATTCAGACATGACACACACGATCTTAAAAATAAGGACAAATCTACGTGTTAAAGTTAATGAAAATACCTTCCTTGCACCAGTGCCTAAAATAGAAAAAAGGGTAGAAGATGACATTCTGACTATGTCAGAAAAGACTGATAGCACAGGCCTGAATTTTAAAGTGATTTGCATAGGTACAGTGTAGGTTTTGAATGGCACTCGAACATTGCCTTGTCCTGGGACTAACATTCAATTAGCGCAATGTGTTTCAGATGCCGGGGACTATCAGGAAGGCTCGTGTACAAGATTCCCTGCTTTTGGAAATTAAACTTTTGTTCTGCACAGCTGCCGTTCTTCTGTAAATCATCGCCTGCCTACTACCCTGGGCGCTCCACAGGAAGCCCGAGGCGGCCGGCGGTGAGGGCAGCGTGGGCAGGAGCAGCCCCTGGCAGGTAGCACCGCCCACCCCCGGCTCCTCTCCCACACCCGGCCTCGGCGCGGCGGGGCCGGCCGGGGGCGGGCGCGGCCTGAGGCCGCCTTCGCACGCGCGGGGCCGGGGCGGGCCTGCTCCGCGCCGCCTCCGCCTCCCGCCCCGTCGTGCTGACGCCGGGCCGTCCTCCCGTGCCGGCGTGCGGGTAAGTGGCTCTCCCTCGGCGGCTCCTGCCCGGCGGCGGGCGGAGCCGCACCCTTCCCCGGCAGCCGCTCGGGGCTCTGCGTCGGGGCCGGCTCTCCGCTCCTCGCCCGGGCGCGGGGCCGGGGGGTTCCGCCTCGGGGCAACTTTCCCCCGCCGGCGCCGGGCTTTCCCCTGCCGCTCCCCGGCGGGCCCCAGCGTGTCTTCCCGCCCTGCCCCGGCAGCCTAGGCGCTGGTAGTGGCTCTTCCGGCCCTGCCCCGGCAGCCTCGGTGCTGGCAGCGGCTCTTCCGGCCCGGCCCGGCCCGCGAGCTCCGAGCGCCGCTGCCCTCCCCACCCTCGCCCTCCGCGCTGCCCCCGCCGCAAGGGTTGGCCTTGGGGTCCTGCTGCTGCACCATCGTCCCCTCCTCGGTCGCCTTTTAATCCCACGTGCCTCGTGTCATGAGAAAGCTTCGTACCCAGCGCTGCGGTGCTCCGGCTGTGTTACTTAGTGCCGTGTAGCCCCCGCCGTGCCTGCTTGACAGGTACCGCGCCAGGAGTAATCGCTCGGCGTTTCTTGTTGCGGAGAATCAAGTGCTTTATTTGCAGTAGTAAACTCAGTCTCTGTTAAAACACTGACTTGGCGGAGTTGGTGTTTATGCAGATTCTGGCTTTTATGGAAACACCTGTCAGGAAAAAGGGCCGATACAGTTGAGCAGCTGCCAAAAAAAAAAATAGGTGCCTGTCACTAGCAATCTGCACAGGTGAGGCAGTGTGTGCCCCGCTCGCTTCAACGTGCTCCTTCAGGCAATTATCCTGCAGAATTTATCCCCGATGAGGGCTGCCGTTGGGCTCAGGACAGTACTTTGTAGTATGTGAGTCACTCTTCTGCTGTGAGAATAGTCTGTGTGTGACAGCTGTGGAGTGTTTCTGCCTAGTATCGAACTCTTATAACAGTTTGTATAATTCAATAACTAAGTATTACAGTTTTATTTAAGAAGCATGAGATTTCTCTTGTTACTACCTTTGGCAGATGTCTTACAGGATTTCGCTGTGCTGAGTGCTGTTTTGGTTGCTATGTGAAGATACAAGCCATTTAAAAGCCTTCTCCACTTCACTGCTTTATAACCCAGCCTCTGTAACAATCATGGTACATGGGAAAAGAATCAGGAAACAGTGGTGAATTGCTTCACTTGGCTATGACTTTTATTTATCGTTCCTCTTGAAGAGTTTTATGAGCTTTTATTTGAAGACAGACTAAAATTGGTGCCCTCAGCTTGAAGGTACATTGTTTTTCTAATTGTTCTGCTTTCTTGTGTGTGTGTGTGTCTTATCACTCTTCAGGCCATACATACACTTAATTTTATAAGTCTTTATTTTCCTTTTATTCATATATTTTTGTAGCATCCATTTTCACTTCTTCATTTGAGCGAAACATTTTAGGTGTTTCTAAAGCAGTCATTCCTGTCTCTTTACCCTAAGCTGGTGATCTCTTCAATGGGGAATCCAGGCCATGAAGTCAGCAGTGGCTAACAGCTAACTAGTGACAATTACTTAGCAACCCAGCTCATGCTGATTATCAAGTTAGTAGCAGGGTTTTCTTTAAAAACATACCCTTAAAATTGGATAGATTATGCTATTTGATGACTGGAGAAGTAATACAGGGTGATGTATATAGCTCTAAAATGCTGCTTTGTGCCTAGATTAATTTCTCAGTAACAGCTGAATTCTATTCGTTTTGAAACTTGTTTGTTGTGGACAAAATTGACTCAACATGGGGAATTTAGTTTTTATTAACTATTTTATTAATTTTTAATTTCCAGTTGGCTAGTGATATACAGAGAAGACCACTACTTAAGCACAGACTTGGGGAAAACTCCTTTCTTCCCCTTTTCTCTTTGATCCCTCAGGTTATGCTCTGTCCCTTGGACAAGGCAGTGGTAGTGCAGGAGGTTGGGGTTGGTACATAGGGGTTTCTTTCTACTGCTCTTTTCTTCTGCACCCATGTGGGGCCCCTCAAGGGTGTCCCTGTCCCAGGGTGGGCACCTCCACAGGCCATAGTCCCTTCAGGGGGGGACCTGCTCCAGTGTGGAGAGGCTCCTTCCAAGAGTGCATTTCCAGATGTGTCCGCAGCAATTGTCCTCTTCTCGATGCTTCCCTGTGCCTCTTTGAGCACTCTGTCATGTGTCTCCTCCTGCACTTTCTTTTGCATTTGCTGCCACTGGTTGCTTCTCTGTTTCTCAAATAAACTGGAGTGGAAGCGCTGTGTGCTCATCTGATGAGTTGGAGGATGGCAGGCAGCAGGTTTATGGAGCCAGCTGGAACTGCCCCACACGGATCAGGTTATGACCTCTTCCCATCCAGACCCTGCTACCAAAACCTGCACTTTATCCCCAGTACACTTCTGTGCCAGTTGGGTGATGCTGGAAGAAAGGTCCTATCCATGCCTAATTATAGGAACTCCAGTTTCCTTTTATACACTTTGAAATAAAACCAAAGTACTCTCCTGTAGCTTGCTAAATAGCAATAATGTGTTGGGTCACTGGGATGGTAATACTTTTGCAATTGTATTTATTGACATGCCCATCTGAGCAGTTGTGTTTGCTCCAATGCAGCTGGTAACACCTGGGTCAGGGGCAGCTGCTTTCTCTAAGGATTGCATTCATATATGTTTTAATAATATTTTTTTTTTCATAAAACTTTCTCAAAGAGTTAGTTTTCCTCTTCTTTTCAGATCTGAAGGCAGTGGTTTTGCTGACACAAAGGTGGCAGCTCTGAGCCCTATTCCACCAGCATGAGTAGTCATGTTGTCCTCAGAGATTGTTAAATTTCCTTGTTGTTTTGCTTGTCTCACTGATTCAATGATTTTGGTATCTCATCCATCTTACCTTTTGGGCTGAATTGCTGCCACCTTGAGTTCTGTGTGGCATTCTGTGTGTTGGAAGAACATAGAAAAGGAAGACATGAGGTTTCAAGTTTGGGGGAACTCAGCCATTCTCTTTGTCTCCGTCTTTGCAAGATAAAATCTTGATAGAAAAGGGAATAATTAAGGGTAGCCATGTTTGAGAGAAGGCTTGGAAACAGACAGTTTCTTGGGCACCAGACTGCTGTTGACAGCAGAGCTGGTGTGTGCACAGGCCTGGAGGCAGACATGGTAAGTAAAGATGGTGGTAAGTGGTCAGTGTAGTACTGAATCTTGCTCTGCTGTGTTCCAGCATGCATGCTGCCCTCATATCTTCCTTCTTTCCCCCCAAGTACGTACTGTTTCTAGGAGTTTACTTGATGTTTAACTTAAATGCAGAAAGTTTATGGTTTTCCTGAAAAATTGCAGGGGGCAGAGTCCTTGGAGTGAAGTGACAATGTATTGGTATTGCTCTTAGCAGACAGAAAATAAGTCTTTCTTCTTCTTTCCCAGGGCTTTCTATCTTACCCTGTGCCTTAAACATGGAAGCTGTAGAAATGAATAGTGTGTCCTTGAAACGTCCTCACTCTGAGGATGATGTGGCCAGTGCAGACGAAATTAAAAGACAGAAGATATTGGAGAAGTCTAAGGCAGGGAGTGACTCTGGGCAGAGTATTGAAACTGTAACAGAACAACTCAAAGACATGAAAAGTGAAATGATCCCCAATGATGAAAGTGAGGAGCAGGAAGAAGAGGACCTAGGGGACAGTGATGAAGATGGAGATCCAGAGAGCTTTGCAGACATGATGAAGCATGGACTGACAGAAAGCGATGTTGGCATAACTAAATTTGTTAGCTCTCATAAGGGGTTTTCTGGAATCTTAAAAGAGAGGTAACTCTTTGTCTTGCTGTTTATGTTAATTCCTTGTGTAACACAGCTGTAGTTCTCCAGTTTCCTTCTTGGACTTACAGGTTGCAGTTGGATTACATGAGGTTCATTACTTTTTTTACTGCTGAGACTGAAAGAATGTTTAATTTGTGACTTTTCTAGATTGTGACTTGTTTGGTGGGTTTTTTGTTTTGTTTTGTTTTGGGTTTTTTCTGGGGTTTTTTGTGGGAGTGATGTTTGGGTTATAACATGCCAGTCGTGGGTGGGGAGACTAAAGTGCCACAACTTGTGATCCAGGTCCTCATGAGACAAACAGCCTCATTTATTATTCAGAACTCATTTAAATATCCAATTCAAATCTCCTAGGCTGTACAGCCACTGGCTGATATCTGTCTCCCTGCCCAGCATCCTGGCCAGTGGTGTACTTACTGCTCATCCTGGATAGGGCTGCCCGTGGGTCCCCTGTAACTTATCTGGGGACGTGTTCAGGCATGAACTAGGCTAGCTGAATTGGATTTGTGTTATGGTCAGATTTACTTTGTCCAGTCCAAGCCAACTGTACTGGGACAATACTGTGACAGGGTTTTTTTGGTGTTGTTTTAGTTTTGTTTTTTGTTTTTAAAATTTATTTTTCTGTCAGCTCTGGTGGGGCTCTGATGGAGGCTGTATATGAGTAGAGATACATGATTACCTTTGCTGTTTCCTTTGCTGTCTGGCAGCAGCGCACATAAAACCTTACACAGTACACCCACCTTTTGTACCTTTTCTCAGTGCTGATACAAGATGCACTAAAAAATGACATCAAAATCATCCTTCTTTCGTTCTTTACTGTTCTGACTTTTTTGTCCTAATGTCTGTAAACAAGAATAGTTAGGCTTTAAATTATTGTTTCCTCAGTTGTAATGTCATTTACATTGAAGGGAGTTTTAAAATTCAGGATGTGGAATTTATTATATACAAACATTATATATTTAATAAGATGTTTGGGGTTTAGTAGCTTTTTGGAATGAAACTCCTAGGTTTTTAAAATTAAAGAAAAGCTTTGAATAAAATAGAATGCAAATATAAATCAGAATGCAAATGCAAAAGCTCACTGAAGTGAGAATCACTGTTTCCCTGACATAGCAAAGCAGTTAAGGTTGCTTTGTTTACACACTGAAAAGTCCCTGTGTTTAAATACTGGCCTCATATATAGATAATTTTGCATAATAAAATGATATATGCATATTACGTATGTATTTAATCTTTATGTGCAGCATTAAGCATCTAGTGTAATCCTTCTCTGGGAAACATAATCTGTGCTAAACAGTCTTTTGGGAAATCTGCCAATTTGGTTGGCCAATTTTCTACCATGTGGTAGAAAATTCGTGGGTTTCTGGGGTTTTTTTGGATCCTAGTTTTTAACACCTATTATTAATTAATTCTTGGCATTTTTATGGTACCATCACTAACATGTCTAGACAGCTACAGATAATACAAGAGACAACACATAATACTCCTCAGGAGGAAATTCTACCAATATGGTGTATATCTGCATAGAGGGATGGCAAAAGGGTGCTTGGGGGAGGTACAGTAGAAAGCTTCTGGTGAAGTTTTACTCATCTTTCAACACTGATAGAATAGGAATTATTTTCTCTTTTTTTTTTTCCCACTTTGCTAGCAAATGCTACTTAAAAATCATTTAGTAGTTGTAACACACGCCACCAACTGTGCTCTGTTATAGTTGAGCTGTTTTTATTATTGGACATGAGCGAGTTAGTCCTGCCTTCTGTAGAGCGGCTGAAATGCACTTTATTTTGCAGGTTTTTTGAAGTGACAGATAATGCAGTAGTTAATGCATTGCACATTGTGGCAATGCAGTAGAGTCTTAATTGCCAGTAATGACTAGGATTGAGGAATAAGCATTACTGGTCTCTTGAAGCTAGTGAGAAAATGACTCAGAATAACTACAGCAGGTGTTCGGTGATCTGCAAAGAAGTCTGCTGTATTTGGATATGTGTTCCTGTGCTGTCCTTCGGGGGGGGTAGGAATAGGTACAACTTTCTCATGGTAAAGTTTGTTTTATGTGGATTGAATTACATGAATTCAGAATTCTTTAATGAATTCTGCTAACAAACAGCTTTTTTAGGAAAGGACTTTATGTGATGTGGGATTTTTTTTTTATAAATGTAATGCATGTTTCTTTCTATTAGATACTCAGACTTTGTTGTCCATGAAATAGGCAAAGATGGATGTGTGAGCCATTTAGATGACTTTTCTGTTCCAGTGGATGATGAGGTAAATTTTGAGGTAAAGATTTGGTAATGGCTATGCTTCTTAATGCTCCTTAAGCAAGGACATGATAATACTAGAAGAGGGTTATTGGATGTCTGTTTTTTCTCCCCAAATATATATTAGGACCCATCAGAAGAAACATTTACAGTTCTGTCAGACGAAGACAAGCAGCGTTTAGAAGAGCTCCAGCTTTTTAAGAATAAGGAAGCTAGTGTTGCCATAGAGGTAAAATTAATAAATGGTATGAATTTTGGGATGGGGGCAGAGAGGCTGAGGGAGGGAGGCAGGGAGGGAATGAGAAGGCACACACTTTATAAAGCATGTAAAGTATAAGTGCAATTTGAACGTGATGTGACAGATGGTCACCTAAACAGTGTCCAGTTTAGGGTTTAAGTCTGTAAAGTCTTACAGGTGTACTTGAATTCATGCATCTGTGAGTTGTCACTTTGATTTTGGTGAGAATACAGGAACTTAAATACAGGTTTTAATTCCTGTGGTGTTAAGATTATATTGCAGTATTTTGCTTTCCTGTCTAGTATTGTTTTAAAGAATAAGGAGGTTTATATAAAACATCTATCCTGATGGAACACTGCTTTCAAGGTCAGTGTTTAATGATTTAATAGAAAAGAAGATAAATGTAGTCTTCTGTAACAAGAAAGATAAGAAAATTAAATAAAAACCTTGATATTTTTAAACGTTCAAATATTCCACATATTCAAAGAATAACTATTGAGCTAAATTTGGGGCACAGAGATGAGTAGGATTATATCTGGTAGTTTCAAATAAGCATTCATACATTAAATAATCTTATCTAGTTATTTATTTATTTTTTTTTCCTTTAAGACACCCTTCCCTTTGTCTTAATTTATTTGGTTTCTGCATGTATGTGTATTATCACAGGTAATTGAAGACACCAAAGAAAAAAGAACCATCATCCATCAGGCTGTGAAGTCCTTGTTTCCAGGACTGGAGACTAAAACAGAAGATCGAGATGGAAAGAAATACATTATTGCTTATCATGCTGCTGGGAAAAAAGCATTGGCAAGTGAGTTTCAGTATCACAGCAGATGGGTAAAGTAAATGCTAAAATTATCCCCAAAGTAAGAGTTGTTAGTAAGAACTTTAAGTGAGCGTGCTTCCTAATGTAGTCTTGCTTCATTTTTTCCTCATTTCAGCTTATACTGTGCATCTAAAATTATTAAGATCACAAGAAATGTTTTAAATTGAAATTTCTACTTGCTTTTCTTTACAAATCATCCAGTAAAACCATATTAGAAGAGAAAACATTATCTTCTACTTCAGTGGGAATACGCAAAACAGAGACTTTATTTCCAGTATTTTTTGAATTTAACTTTCATGATCTTAACTGTGTGTGTAGGTGTGTGTTGTGGATATAAGAGGTTGTAGTTGGAAAATACACATTAGGTTGATAGATGGTGTAATCTTGATTGTCTTGAATATTCATGACAAAATTCTCAATGGCTTGAATAGAGACAAGCATCTTTTTGTTTTCTCAGAGTTATAGTTTCATATAAACATAGTTTATTTACTATGATTGTTAATTCTGCTTGCAAGGCTAATTATATTTACAGAAAATTATCTTTATTCATTAAGGATCACACTTAATCTTTTGAAATAGTCAAAGTAATGAAGGACTTTCAAAATGAAGTGTTATCCACTTTAATCTTGCAAAATGCTATTTTGGATACTGGGAATAAATTAAAGTGTTTTACATCTCTTAAAGTTACTAAAAGTTTGTTGCTACTGTAAGTTTAGAGGATTATCTATCTGCAGAATGGTGCACATTTAACGAAAGATACCAAGGTTTGGTTTAAATTGGTTGCATTCCTCTGTCATTTCAACCTACTACAAATGATGGTATGTAAACCTAACCCTTTAATTTTAAAGACAAAGTTGATGGAGGAAGGATAAGGAAATAGAGTAATTTAAAATGGGAAATAAAATAATTTCCCCTTTAATTTAATTCTTTGTTTAAGGCCTGTTGTAAGCAAATATGGGAATGTTGTATTCTTATTGTCCAATTATTATGTGTTTATGTGTCTTACTTAGTCATGTTTAGAAAATGCATATGTTTGCATGCTTTATGCATGGAGTCAGTATGCTTACCAGCACAAAATTCTTCTCCGCCAGTTTTGTTCTCTGTTGGTTTGTAATGGATTTTCCTCCACCTTTTCCTTCTGCTGCTTCTATTCTTTAATCACTGTTACAGTAAAGTGAATGTTGTTAAGCTGATTTAAGGGATACTATATAAAAGAATATAAGTATTTGAAATATGCTGAAAAGAATTTAGTGATGTGTCTCTAGGATTAAAACATTATGTGGAGCACCATCTTGTGATGTAGAAAAGTATCATCTATTTAAACTTGGATTCCCCAGCTGTGATGCTGCAGGCATCTGTGCATTTGTTGGTGGAGATGTGTCAGTTTCTGTGTGTGTGCAAATGCTTATGGATGTAAGATTTAAGTTCTTCCCAGTCAGGATTATATTTATCTCTCTTGTTTATATAGCCACAAACATGTCTTAGTCATGAATGGTCTCCCCAGGCAAGAAACATTTCAGAAGTGTAGAATATTGGATTATTAGCTGAGATATCTGATTAGTTTTGTTGATAACATAAAACATTACCAAACATGCTTCTTAAAATTTAAAATCGGAAGCTTTGTGTCTATAGTCAATTTACCCTCCACATATTTACAATACTGTCTTACTAAATTGTCAGTAAACTGTTGTTTCATCACTGTCCACAAATTAAGTTTGTTGCATCTTCTATTGAAGCTTTCCATGTGTACACTGTTTGCCTCTGCACGATTCCATTCCATAATTGTCTAAATTGCTGTCATCCACCACCTGGCTGTTGGATGCTCCCTGAAGCATAAACAATCCCATGACCATAAACCTGCATGTTCACCTCTAAAAACCCTTCGACAGTCTAAAAATTAAATGCTACTCTTTTGTACTCTTTATGCTCTGCATTGGGACAGAGGTCAGAACTGCAACAGGTAAGAGACGTTGACATTTCATACTAACAAAAATGAAATGCCAACCATTACGACCTCCCTAAATAGCAACAGAACTGGCCAAACTTGTAACAATTTCTTAAAAATCCCTACACATAAGTATTACTTAAAATGCCCTGAAACAGCCAAGAATTAGGTTTGTTCTACCTCTTTTTCATAGTGCAGTATAGGCAGTATTCATTTGGTGCAGAGAAAGTCTTATATTAATAAGTGATATGAATTATCAATTTTGACAGTACATATTGACAACTATGGTAATTTTTCATGGATTTCAGTTAGCCAAGCCTTTGCCTTTCAACCTGTATTTCAGACACTACTATCTGTCTTTATACAACTTCAAAAGCATTTCTCACACACCCTGCTGTTAAAAAAGAGCTTCCAAGCCTATGTTTCAGCAAAATGTTTGGAAAAAGGGCTTGGAAATACAATTTTATTGTCAAAAATGCAACATGACTCTGAAACACAGCAATAGGGATTGCAAATTGTCCCACTACTCCGTCTACTCAGTTGAATGCTTTGAAGTATTGGGTGAGGAATGATTGAGTGTCAGGACTGTGGCTGCAGCTTTCTTTGGGTAGGGTCATGGCTGTGATGCCCAAAGCATGAGGAGCCCATTTGTCTGATAGTACCTAGAGAATCCTTTTAGTGTAGATTACCATTAGAGCACACTTCCTGAACTGTGTTGAAATGAGCATGTGCAAGATGTATTAGTTAAATATGAAGAATGGAGAAGGTTCTCCTTTGTGAATTGAGCTCTGTCTTACTCTCTTCCCTTCTAATTGCTGAGATCTTCATGGAGAACCTTGCTCTTCCAGCTGAATGCAGTGTTTCATTGGCTTAGTTTAAGAGTAGTGATGGCTCAGAAGGAGAGACCAGCAGGAGCTTGAGGTCTCCAGTTCAGGTCCTGAGAAACTCTGTGGGAGAGGGACTGTGCTTAGAAACTGATGGTGCAAGACAAGTGATGCTATAATTCTAAGTGACTAAAACTTCTACATATAGTGTTTTATACTGTAGCATCCAAAATTATCTTTGCAGAAGTGTGAGCATGAATGGCAGCTTCTCAAAAGCAAGCAAGAACTAAACAAACATATCTTTGTGGGATTATCTGGACTTTATAAAACAAATGTGAAAGAAAAAGCAGTATTTCCCAGGAACTTCCTTCCTGCATTGGTGTTTATATATTGAAATAAGGCTGGCTTTTTCAGTTAGCTTTTGCTGATAGGAAAGATGCTTATGCCTTTTTTTACAAAACCAGGTATGTCTGCTTAGTGGCTACCAAGAGGTAAGGGACCTCTTATTTAAAGGAAAACAAATTCTTAGTTTTGTTCTTAAATAACAAGGAATTGATAAACCTTATAATTGAAGGAACCTCACAATTGATGGCTAAACCTCTGTAGAATTAGTCTCCCTTCCCATTAATGCCATGTACAGTGGATTATTGGAAACTGAAAGTTTTATCTCAGGGCGGGGTTTTATGTGCAAAAAAAAAGTTTAAGGAATCATTGACAGTCTCCTTCTCCAGAAAATGTCAAATAGTAGCACAGAATTGTAAATCAGTTATTAGTCTGTGGGATATGAAGTTATTTTAGCCTCTGGCCTTCTCTCTAAGCATGGCATCATACCTGCCATGGATTGTACCTTAATGTCTCACTTGTACCAGGTTTCTTGCTCCCATTGGATTTTAAAAAACAACCATCTTTAAGCAACTTTTTGAGCATAATTTTTTAGGGTTTTGTAGTGATACGATTCACTCTTTTGCATGACACACAGAAAAAGTAATACAGAAATAAAGAATATGTCTGTACTATAAATAATAATGGTAGTCTTCCCACAAATAGGGCTCCTGTGGTCCTCAACTATTAATTATATAAGGAGCTAGAAGAAATGTGGTGTAGCTTCTATTGCTGAAAGTCAGTATAATAATAATGTTTTTGAAAAAATTAATCAGGTGATACAGCAATTAAATGACTAGGTTATATTTTCAGATAATTTAATGACAAAGGAACTGTCACTCTTTCATTCAGGATTTTCTAGGTGGCAGAACTGCTTAAAGAGAAGTTTACAGTCCAGTGGAAGGGGAGGTATCTTTCAATGTGCTTCACAGCTTTTGCTGTCAGTAATTAACTCTTTCCTTTTCATTTCTTTTAAAGCAGATGGAAATAGCAGAAATTGAATCTTGCATATTTAAAATAAATGTAGCTGCAATAGCAAATACATTAAATTTTCAAAAAGTCACACTTTAACCTTTTTTGCTTTTAAAGATCCAAGAAAGCACTCTTGGCCAAAATCTAGGGGAAGCTACTGCCATTTTGTACTGTACAAGGAGAATAAGGACACTATGGATGCCATTAATGTCCTATCCAAATTTTTAAGGTAAGGCTGTTGTTTCTGCCATCCTGGCTGGTGTGCAGCCCTCCCCATCCATGTTTCTTGTTGCTGTAAATGTTATGCTTCAGAATTATATAAGATCAACACACATGATTTCTATTCTCTAATTTGTAGACAGTTTAAAATAAAAAGTTACTTTAGAACATCAAATTTAAAACTTAGAATTTTTGTAGTGAGAATTAGAATTAGAATTAGGCAGTGAGAATGGAACAAAACGAGCCTAAGAAATTTTAAAGACTACTACTTCTATGGAAAAAGTCCACAGTTGACATTGGCTGATCTGAGAAAGTCTTGGCAGCTGAAAGCCTCAAGGTACATAACCTGAATTAAAAGCCATTTTTTCCCCAATGTGTGAATATATGCAAGTATGTTATGAACCTGTTAGATATTGTTGTGATAATATGCTGATCGGTTCCTAAGCAGTTACAGTTGATAAACTGTTGTTCCATGTATTAGTTTCTCCATGGCAACACAGGCTTAGTTCCTTTCACCCCATCGAGTGCAGAAACAAAAAGATTTGCCGAGGCATGACACGAACATGGTGAATTGCAGAGGAAGAGCAGTTTTAAAATTGGGTCAGTTCAGTGATCTACTCATAGGGAAACTTCCCCACTCCTCCCCTTCTTTTCCCTTTGCCTTTCTTGTCCAAAATAAAAAAATTTGTAATCTAGACAGTAACAAGTGAACTACTTAGTATTGGTATTGAGAACAGAATGGCAAGAGCATAGTTAGGTGTAAAACTGTATGTAATGGCAGTCCTGCTACCCCCTGGAGCCCTTAACTGGAATAACTGGAAATACTCTAACACAGGCTGTAAGGTACGAAGTGAAAAGGAAAGAAAATTTTCCTCTCAGGAAAAGGACTGGATGAAATTTTAAATTAACTTCCTATATTCTCTCATAATGTGCAGGCATGATACTCAAACAGACATGTTTGAAGTTTAAGGAAGAAATGGACATGTTTGGTTTTTTTTAGTGAAGTTGGTGGTGGCTGTGCATTTGTGGATTGAAGGAACGTGTATAAAGAAGTATTTCAAAGTTCATGTTTTGAAAGCACTTTTTATTTTGAAGTGGTAAAAGTGAATTGTCTACATATAATTAAACCAGAGAAGTTTCCTTGTGTTTTATGTACTCATGGATGAGATTAGAAAATGTCACACACATGTCAAATTGTAACCCAGTTCTGAGGAATGTAGGTATATTTTTCTATTTTTAATTTATAAGATTAGTAATTCTAGGCAATTATGCTGAAAACTGTTTGATTTGTTGCTATTTTAATATAGATAATATATATATATGTTACTGTTGCTTTTAAGAGTGAAGCCAAACATATTTTCCTACATGGGAACTAAGGATAAAAGGGCTATAACAGTTCAAGAAATTGCTGTTCTCAGGTAAGTAAAAGTACAGTCTGGAGTATTTGCACTTCTGCTGTGGTAGCTTGGATATCTCACTAAATACCTTAAAGACTCAATGATACAAATGGCAGGTTCAGGTCCTGACCTTGTAAAGCACAGGTGTTAATGAAAATGCCACATTGCTTTTGTATTCTGTGATTACTACTGATATTTTCAGTCAGTGGTGCTCTGAGTCACAGGCTGGTTACGTGTACTTGGCCCAGGCAGTGGGACAGATTGCCTACGTGCTCTTAGGCTGCTTGGATCTCATGCAACAGCAGAAAAACAGAATGGCATGGTGAAAATAATGTCCCACTTCCTTCCTGGCTTTTGTTTCTCTCTTTCTACAACTGGAATCCTATTTTCTTTTTCACTGCACTCTCTGAACAGTGCCAGAAAAGGCTAACGCTGCCTTTGCTCATCTGTGAGTCGTCAGAAGGAGCAAAAAAAGGATGAGGAATTTTTCCTGCCTTAACCTACTCCCTTAAGTTAACTTCTAAGAGAAAATAAAATTTACTTTGTCATATTCTAAGGTAATTATATGGTTTCTGAGCACTTTAAATAAGTGTTAGATCCATAACTGAGAATGGCAGATGTCTCCCATGATATTACAGTATCATTTTATCTGGCTGGAATATCCCACCTCCATTACTTTTTACAACTTTTTGAAAACCACACTCCTTGAGTGAGGAATTCACAGCTTGAAAGCCAGAGGTTTGACCAAATCCTTGTTAACAGGAGGGCATCCACTGCTGAGCTGTTCATATTTTCTTCCAATGTTCTGTATGTGTGTGTTAGCACACATAAAAGGAAATAGTGATATGTGAGTTGTGAGAAGCCCCAGATTCGTGTTGCTGCAAGGCAGCTTTGCAAAGTGATAACTGTTAACCGAATGTGTGGTGCAGCCATCTCAGGTGCTGTTACATTTACTTTTTAACATTATCACTTTCAATGTGGTATTCAAGAGCTCCAGAGTGCTCTAAGTGTTGTGTGGTGTCTGCTCAGGTGCCACAGCCTCTGACTTTCCTGCACAGGAGGGGGGACATTGCCAGTTGCCAGCTTGTTCTGAGCTGAGTATGCTAGCCATGCTGGTTCATAAATTTCACTATCCTGGTAAAATTCAGCAGAAGTGTCCAAGAGCAGCTTGGTGATGCAAAGAACAGGGTATGCTTCCAAAAATACTAGCAACAAAAATGGCAGGAATCGGTGACAGATTGGATTCCATGTTCCTTCATCTGCACTAGGCAAGCACAGTAGCTAATTTTACTTAACTGTATCTATGACTGTGCTAACTGGGCTGTATTCATGAAGTAGTTACTCAAGTAATGCAGAGTTCAGCCTGTGGGGTACAGTATACATCAATACTGCAATATACATTTTTGTAGTATGTGTTTTAACATAGACATGAAAAAACAGTGCTACCAGTCTATCAAAAGGTATATTTTCTTTTGTATGAGTACCCTTAAGAATTATATATTATCTTCCTTTAACTGTTTCATTAAAGTATTTTGGAAAGGCAATGGTAGAAAATCGGGGAAACTGGACTTGCTGGTTTTTGTTTTGTAATGACAGCATTTCTGTATTTACGTGCTTTTCTAAGCATAGGTTGGTCACTGTTGCCTGTTTCTTTTTAGAATCACTGCACAAAGACTTGCTCATTTGAATAAATGTTTGATGAACTTCAAATTAGGAAATTTCAGTTACAAGAACCATCCACTGAAATTGGGAGAACTACAAGGGAACCATTTCACTGTTGTTCTCAGGTAGTATGTTAGTAGGTATTTAGGATAGTTCTGTTAGAATTTTTTTTCCTTCAAATAGATAAGTGCTATCAGTGCAACTGGTGATAGAAAAAAGAAGGCTTGTTGGCAGGAGACTGTTGAAGTTGATGCGTGCTATATAATGTTGATGTTGAGCTTTAATATAATGGACATCTCAAAATAGCATAAACCCTTAATCTGTCTATAACTTTTTTTTTTTTTTTAATGCTAGAAACATAACAGGAACTGATGACCAGATAGAGCAAGCAATGCATTCCCTCAGGGAAATTGGATTCATTAATTACTATGGAATGCAAAGATTTGGAACCACAGCTGTTCCTACTTATCAAATTGGCAGGTATGTGTTGCTTTTATCCTCCCCCCCTTCTTTTTTTTTTTTAATTTTATTCTTATCACCATGTAACTTAATGTATTTTTGGGAACATTTTTCTAACATATTGCCTGTACCAGTTTTAAATTTAGATTCAAGATAGATCTTGTTTCTGAACTTGCTTCAGCAGTTATCTTGCATAATAGCAAGGATATTGCATAAGTCTAAACACTAATACTTATTTTTTTTATAAGTTGGCTAAATCCCTTTAAAATAGATTCAGTCAGTTCTTAATACACTTTTGTGTTTGAATCCTAGAGCTATTCTACAGAACAACTGGAATGAAGTAATGGATTTGATATTAAAACCACGACCAGGAGGTGAGAACTGAAAAATGATACATCGTGTGTTTCTGCCTCTTCTCCAAGAACTGTATCTTTAGGAAAAACTAAAGCCAGTTTAGCAGTGGAGAAGCAATCTTCAGACTCTCCCTTTCTGCCTCACTTTCCTTGCTGTTCAGTTTCTTGCTGGGGGGCTGAAAAGGGACCTGAGCACTTACAGTGTCTGCTCAAGCTCCATGTGAGGTCTTCCAACCTCAAGTGTTCTGTGACTCTCTAATTACCATGACTGAAAATTTAATTTTTCAACTGTTTTAACAAAAGATGAGATGGATGCTTTTTTTGGTGTATAGTTAAAATATTTTAATTTTACATCCTTGTTCTAGCTGAAAAGGGATACTTAGTCAAATGCAGAGAAGAATGGGCAAAGACTAAAGATCCAGCAGCAGCACTCAAGAAACTACCTGTAAAAAGGTGCGTGGAAGGACAACTTCTACGTGGACTCTTAAAGTATGGAATGAAGAACATAATCTCTGCATTTGGCATAGTGAGTGTAAAAGCTGGGTGGTATTTACCTGAATAAACATTCTTTTGATGGTATCAGGATGGATTTAAAATAAACTCATTGATGCTTGATGAGTAGAAGGTTAAGTTTAAAATCTTTGCATTTATCCTGCCTTTTTGCTGGAAGTACTGCTGTGTAGTAACTGATGACATCTCTAATTAATGTATGCATAATGAGCTTTCCAATTTATACAACAATCTTTCTGGTATGTGGGAAGCAGTACAGTTATACTTAGTAGCTACATATAATATGGATCTGAGAATTGTGCAGATGTTCAATTTCAGTGTTTTCCTGTTGCTTTAAAAGTATAAATCAAACTGATGGTGGGCTAATGAATCAGCCTGATATAGAGGTGATGGATCCACTTGTCATTTTCAAGTGCTGTAATCAAGCACAAGTCTTAGAAGAAAATACCTCATCACTAGTAAACTACTGGGCCCATTGTAGGATCTGGGGGATAATTTTTTGTTTATGAAGAAGATAATTAGAGTAACACTGCGCTTTCACAGCTGTGAAGTTTACTTAAGATTTCAAGAGGTTGAATATGAATTCAGTGTTTTATAATAGACCCATATTTTTGACCTGTAGAATTAAAAAATTCTGGAGGCTTTTTTTGGTAAACTTAAGCACAGTTCTTTTTTGTGCATATTTCAAATGTATAAAAGCATTATTTCTTCACATATCCTTTTCTCAAACAAGAAACAAAAATCAAATATGTATACCAAGAAATGGTGTAAGTCTTTTTGCTGGATAAGGTAACATTTCAAATATACACCTTTTTAGTTATGATTGTCAGAAAAAAAAACAGAAAGTATATCTTTCCAGTGTTTAATTTTTTTTTCTTTACCTCTAGATACCAAGAAATAATCGTTTAATGTATATTCATAGCTACCAGAGTTATGTGTGGAATAATATGGTGAGCAAGAGAATAGAAGAATACGGGCTTAGAGCTGTGCCAGGAGATCTCATACTTAAAGGAGGTAAAATCAGACAAAGCCAGTGATGCTGTATAGTTCAGATTCCTAGGAAAACAAGGCATGTAGCTGTTTATCTAATACTGCTTCAATAGTTCCTTTTCTCTCACCAATTTTGGCCCAGTGATACCTCAATCCATTGCCCTGTTCTAGACAAATTGTGCAAGGAATTGAAAGTTAGGTATTACACTTCCATGAGCTGTTTGTTGGCCTGTCTTTTCAAATAACTGGATAGGGAAGAGAGACTATGGAGGACTGATTATTCTCAAGAATGACCTCAAGCCTAGTTGAGCTATGAAGAACTGTGGAAAGATGTTATGAAGTTTTAACCATAGAAGTTTTTGATTGTATTAGTATGTTGTAAAGCAGAAGCTCCACTCAGTTAAACTTTCTTCACTTGTATTTGCTCTGGCATTTCCTACAGTATTTCTCCTTTATGTAGACCTGCTACATGGAAGGGGGCTCTTCCTCTAGCAGTCCTTAGTTCATGTAGCTTTAAATCACTGGAAGCCAGGCTGTGATTCTGCCAGTAACTGTGACAGCCTTGGAGGCTGTTACTTCTTTTCTTGGAAATGTTGTCTGTTAAGTGGAGATAAAACATGGTAGTTATCTTTCTCAGAGTAAGCTTATTTCAATCGAAGGCTTCATTTTAAATTTAGCTGAACTGTCACAGGCATCCATACTGGTAACTTCATTTTTCTATCCTGACTGTAGCCACAGCTGTTCACATTGAAGAAGGAGATGTTGGTAACTACACTATCCACGATGTAGTGATGCCATTGCCTGGATTTGATGTTATTTATCCAAAGCATAAAAGTAAGTCTGACTGTTAACTGAAATATTTACTCTGAAAATGCAGGTCTGATTTAAGATTGTTCTTAAGGATTGGAGGATTGGAACTAGTCAACCTTCGTGACTTTCAAAGCAATACATCACTGCAGATCTCTAAAACATTAATGTCAGCCTTCTGTTGCTGCCAGGGTGCTCTGCTCAGTCTCCTTCCCACTGGGAATCCCAGATGACAGCAGAGCAGAGTTTCTCACTAACCTGTACCACTGCAAGGAGTTAATCAGGTACAGGATTTTGTCCTTGATGAATTTCATGAGGTTCCTCTTGGCCCATTCCTCTAGTGTGCCTCAGTCCCTCTGAATGGCAGTCCTGTCCTTGCACGTATTGAATGCCACCCCAGCTTGGCTTAGCCCACAGATTACTTGGGGTAAATTCAAGCTCTTCTCCACTATTTCACAGGACACATCTCAGTTCCTTGAGGAACTCTGCTTTTTAGGTAGAGCTGCAACCAGTAGTGTCTATACTTTGAGATGCTGAGCCAGACAGCTGTTACCCCCTTACCAGTCCACCCACTGTAATGTTCTAAACTTGGACACGAAGATGCTGTGGGAATACATTGACAGCCTTGCTAAAGGCAAGGGCAGGCAACAGTCCCTGCTCTCCCCTCACCCACAGGTGTAATAATTTAATCATAGAAGACAGTAAGGTTGGTGGGCTTTTTGCTTTTTCTCGTCCTTTTTCTCCCCTTTATCACAACAGTCATTGTGTACCCAAAGAGGATAATTATTTTTCCCAGGGACCAGAGGGAGTCTGACTGGTCTGTAATTCCCTAATTATCTTTCCTGCTCTTTCTGAAATTGGGTGCAACACTTGGTATTCTGCAGTTGTCTGGGACTTCCCTAGATCTGCACTATCTCTGAGATGATAGGGAAACCTTCACCATGATGTGAGCCAGCTCTCTCAGTCTGTATCTTCTCCCACTACTGGTAGCCCCTCTCTTTCGTAACTTTGCCTCTAAGAAGAGAGGCCTGGGACACTTTGCTGGTCAAGGCTCAGGCAAGAGAGGCACTGAGACCATCAGCCTTATGTCTGTCACTAGACAGCTGCCCCATATAGCACCAGGCCATTGCTTTCCTTGTATTCTTTCATTCCTTATGTTGCAGCTGAACTCTTCTTGGTCTTGATGGCATTTGCTGCTTTCAACTGTAGCTGAGCTTTGGCTTTCCTAACACCATTTCTGTGTGCCTGGACAATGCTGGTATAGTGCCTCTTTGTAGCTGGCCCTAGGTTTCACCTGCTCTGTGTTCTGATAGATGAGATTAGTCATGAGTTCCTTGCACGTTTTCCTCAGTATTGGATTGAACTGTTCTTATACTTGGTTGTCAAATTGTCAACTGATTTATCTCTGCTGCTTTTTAAGGAGAGAGTAATGGGTAGTCTGGCCCTTTAATTATTTTTTTCCATATACCTGAGATTAGTCCTCTGAAGTCTAGAAAATTGGAAAGCATATATGAGATGACATTTAAATGTCAGTAAAGTATTTTGTAAATTTTGTTTTCAGCTGAAATTTGATTTGATGTGTTCTTTGTTACTGCCTCTACTAATCAGGGTGTAGAAGTAAAGAGGTAATAAGATTTGCAGTACTTTTAAACTTCTGTGTAGCATCCCATATATGCTGAAAACTTACTGAATGTAAGGGAAGGGAGCAATCCATGAAAAAAGGCCATTTAAATTTGCCACAGTACATTCTCTCCTATTAAATATTTTCCTCTCTTGCAGTTGGTGAGGCCTACAAGGAGATGCTGGTAGCTGACAACCTTGATATCAACAACATGAGGCATAAAATCAGAGATTACTCACTTTCTGGAGCATACAGAAAGATTATCATTCGGCCTCAGAATGTCAATTGGTGAGTGGGAGCATAAAGGAAATTACACTTGAATTAACACAGTTTATTTAAATATAAAACAACATGAGATTGATCCATGGGATCATCCACACAGACTGAAACAGGTAGAGAGGACTCTCTCTGCAATTCTCTCATGTTTTTAATGCAGCTGAAGGGGAACTATACCCATATTTATTCCTTGGTTCCATGGTGGAAGAGTATCAAGACATGTATCTAATTGTTCACTCCTTGCAAGTCCTTGCCTGAACACTTCATAGATAATTACTTATGTTGAAACAATGATAGATAATATTCAAAATGGGGGTTTTTTTGTAGTCTTGCTGTGAGAAGGTTGGTCTCCAATTACCTATCAATTATAAAAATTTTTATCACTTAAACCTACTAAATCACTGTTAGAGATACAGCCTAATTTTCATATGGCAACTGAATAAATACCTTTTAAACAGGGAACTGTACAAATGTGCAGAAAGACATCACTGATGCGTAGAGTAAAATGTAGAGGGCTTAGGAGGAAGCAGAAAAATACAAATTTTTATGTACTTGAAACATCAGCACTAATTAATATTAAGCTTATCTACTTCCCAGTTAGGTTTTCAGCCTCATGGTTACATATGGGATTTCTGTTAAATGAACAGCAGAAACCATACAATGTGTTCGAGCCCTTTCAAAGTTTGGGTGACTGTACTGAAAGGCTTTGCTCCTGCTAGGTACCCTTAGCATTGACATCATTCTTCCCTTAATTTCATGAGCTATACTTCTTGTATAGCTGGAAATTCTGACAGCAGACAAGGGCAAACAGATGAGTTATGCAAAGAAACTTCTCACTAACTTAAAATTGTTTTTTAATAATCTTCATAAAGCCAAGTCTTCTACATAAAGCTTTACATGATATTTTGCCTAATTCAATTTCAGTTGTAAATGCCAAATTGCAATAATAATAAAAATAGTATTATAATAAATATATGGTTATGTAAAATGTATTAACCTAAATAATTTAATAATAATAAATTTTATGTATATTTTAAAGGGAAGTTGTTGCATATGATGATCCTAAAATACCATTATTTACTACGGATTTGGATAAACTGGAAGGAAAACCATTACCAGTTCTCCCTACGGGTAAGTCAGTTTTTCTGCTGGTTTGCTAAATGGAAGTTTGAGCTGGCTTTTGCTTTCAACTGCTACATATTGAAAGCTCCTTTAAGGAAGAGCTTTCATTTAACTATTGTCTGTTAAGCAAGGGTAACAACGACCTCTAAAGCCAGGTATCTAAATAAGGACCCTAATTTCTCAAGGTGCAAGCCATTCCTCCAGTATCCATATTGACTGTTAGATTTTCTTACAGGCATCTGTAAAATCAAGTAAATGCTTAGCAGTAAATGTCTGCAACTAAGAAAGGTAGAATTAAGTCACAAATTGTCTATATACTGAGCTTGTATTATTGGTGCTGCACACAGACTCAAATGCTTAGCTCTGGCCGCAAGGTGTTTTGATACTGCTTTCCAGAAAAGTGAAGACAGGCTGGGAATTCAGTCTGAAAGAACAGATGTTTGCTTTTAAAACTCTGAAACCACCACTTTGTGCTGAGAGAAAATGTTAGAAAATTGTTTCATTAAATTTTTCACTGTGGATTATAAACAGGAGTGTGATGGTGGTGGTTGTTTTGCTTTATGGACAGGCTAAGTTGGTTATGGAAGCTGTTAGTCTAGTTTAGATGGCATCCAGAATAAGTATTATATATGCCCTTAATCATGTGTTCTTGCTTTCTGTCTCATATCTTCTGATAGATGGCAAATTCAGGGCACTCAAGATGGAGTTCTCCCTTCCCCCATCCACTTACGCTACCATGGCGATCCGAGAAGTTTTGAAAATGGACACAAGCATAAAAAACCAGACACAACTGAATACTACCTGGTTGCGCTGAATGAACTGCAAAATTACTTAATTTTAACAAAGTGTTTTCTTATTTACATGTTCTGTACAAATCTTTAAAGAGTCACAGTAAGAAATTTGTATTTTTTTAAGTTTTTTAGTGCTGGCATTTAACTTCAATAGTCCTTTGCAAGATGGTAACTGTAATATAATACAGATTTTAGTGACTGGTGCTTTTTACTGAATGAGTAAGTTGCTTGAGCTGTAACATGAGTGCATCTTTAGATTTGAGCTTATAATGGCATCATACCTGGAAGAATGTTTAGCTTGCTTTCTCTGGGCAAGCACTGAATGTTTTCACGAGTTCAGCCCACCCTGAAAGTCTTCTCAAATACAATGAATTATATGGAGAAAGATGAATTACAATAAAATTATACTGATGAACATAGGTATTGCTAGAGTTTTGCTGATAGCATTTGCACTGATGCAGTAGCGGATTCTGCTAGCAAGGCTTTTGTGAGCTGCAAAGCTGTACAGTTCTTTTAAATATTTCGACTTTTCATTGAGAAAATACCTGTATTTTCCAGCCAATACCTGTACCAAAGAACAGGTACTTAAAAATAAATTAATCTGAAATTCTGAGCGTGTATCAGCAAGTGCTTCCTTTACACCTGGCCCTTGCCCATTGTTGGTGGGGAATGAGCCAGCCTTCTTGTGGGGGAAAAAGAAATACAGTGGAGCTGTTCTAAAGAGTCCACCTGCCCTTTTCAGCCCAGTGCAAAGCCTGTGTTTAGTCATGTCGCCGGCCACGGCGGCTGCGTGCGGAGGGGGCGGGGAGGCCGTGGGGGGAAAGGCCGTGGCCTTCGGAGGACGGGGCGGGACAGTCCCGGAGCCGGCGGGACGCGGCTCTCCGCACGCCGCGTCACTCGGAGCCCGGGGCGGGACACGGCTCTCCCCAGACCGTGTTCCTCGGAGCCTGGGGCGGGACGCGGCTCTCCCCAGACCGTGTTCCTCGGAGCCCGGGGCGGGACCGTCCCCGAGCCGGCGGGACACGCGGCTGTCCCCGGGGGGCGGGAAGCGGGGCCCGCTGGAGCGGCGCCGCGCCTGCGCCCCGCGCTCCCTAACCCGCGGCGCCGCTGACGCGGTGGGGGCGGCGCTGCGGCCGCGGGGAGCGCGCTGAGGGCTCCGGGCGGCGGCACC